TCATTATCATCACTTGAAGATGCAAATCTTACCTGAGAAAAAGTTTTGTTCAATTTAAAGGAAAAACTTTAACAATAAATCATCACCTTAATCATGATTATTATTGGGAGAAAATAATTTTCATAATCATCATCATCATCATGATTAAGGTGATAATGATGATATGGAAGATCAATAATTCAAATCATGATGATGATTAATTTAATTTAACAACAAAATCCTCTTATAACAAAGGCAGAAAGTGTCAACCTAATGATTTCAAATGAGACTCATGATGTAAGTTATTCAAGAATTTGAAAAAAATGAAATTCGAGGCAAGAGATTAATTAACTAATTGCTTTCAACCATCTAATTAATTGTTCATATCAGCTAATCAACAGTAAGAGTCTAACTTGTTGAAATTCTGATTATAATCATGATAATCATTCATATGAATTTGTTTTTCTAGTTTATTTTTTTTTACTCTTGTTCAATTAGTTAATTTTTTTTATATGTTCGTTGATTTAGTTAATTGTTGTAATTACACTCGTTCTTTCATTAATAAATGTTTTTGTTTAAATAGTGTGGGTTTTGAAGGGATAATTAATTTAATTAGTGTAAATATGTCACTTTGATAATTTGGGTTGATGATTATGATTAATTAATGATAAGGATGATGAGATGAGGATGAAGATAATGATGAGATGGAGCAAATAGTTTTCCAAAAGTTTTCAAAAGTAAATTCAACGTAATTAATTGTTGATAGTAAATGACAATTGGAATTAACTGTTCAATTTGTTTTCGTCACAATTAATTCAACAAGATTATCTATCTTGATTAAAGCGTTTTCGATAATTAATACGTTTCACTTTTCGAAACAAAACTTTATCATTCCAATAGAATAACCTAGTAACCTGATTCATTCATCTGATATTATCGCTTGTTTATCATTGACTAATGACGATTAGAATGGAGATAAAAAAGAGTTTGAAGAAAAAAAATTTCTTCGAAAAAAAGTTCTAAATATAAATTCTGTGAGCTTCATTTATCAGCCGATTTTTTGAGAAGAAGATGAAATAGGAAGTAAAAAAGTTTTCGAACTTCATTTTTTTCTCCTTATTTCTATTAGAACTTTTTGAAAATTTTTTTCTTCCTTTTCCAATTCGAGGTACAAATGAGTAAACAAATTAGTACATAAACTGTTAACTCGATGATGATGATGATGTGAAAGTGGAGAGAGAGAGAAAGAGGTGATGATGATTATGCTCCAGGTCTTTAGATGAAGGAAAAATGTAATATTTACCTTAACTTTTTTTCCACCATCATTAATGTTCAACTATTTAACTCGTTCACTCCATTAATATCTTAGACCTCATGCTACTGAATATTTTCAGGAGAAACCCTGGAAGCCAGAAAGAAAGAAAGAGAGAGAGAGAGAGAGAGAGAGAGAGAGAGAGAGAGAGTCATTCGTTTTTCAGAGACCTCAGACTTTTCCCTGATGCAAGTAAAGTTTACTCACTGAGTTAAGTTGATAAAAGTAAAATAATCAGCTCTGAATGAAGAGGCGATTCATTTATATGAATGTTATTGTTTTAATGATAATTGTCATCATCTGAAGATGATCTTAGGATGAGAAAGAAGATGAGAAAAAGTCAAACTAAGTTTGCATAAGAATCACTTTGTATCGATGTTTACATGATGATGAGGAAGAGAGTGAGAGATAACAAAAAATTGGCAGAAAAAATAGAAGATCGAGATTTTCATCTGTTCATTGTAACAACATCATCAACAAGAAGAAGAGGAACAACAACAACAACAACAGCAGAGGGAAAAAAAGTTGAGGATGGAGATGATGAGGATGCTTTAGAATCTGTAGAAAAAAAAACAAGGAAAAGATGAGGAGGAGGAGGAGTAGGTTATCCACTTGAGATTCTTTTCCTTTTTTCTCTCTGTGAATAAACAGAAGGTTGTTTTTTTTTCTTCCAAAGGAAAATACAAACTCCATAGATTGAGGATGATGATGAGGAAGATAAGGGAGCTGAACTCTAGTAACAAATTCTGATTGAAAACAAAAGGAGAAGAAACAAAAAAAAGTCGAAATTCTAATAATATGTACAAATGACACATTTGAAAAGGAAATCGAGAAAATATCTCCTCTCTCTCTCTCTCTCTCTCTCTCTCTCTCTCTCTCTGCAACAAAGTGTCACAAGTAGAAAGTATCAGTTGAAGTATGAGTTTCAACTAAAATAACAACAACAGTCAAGATATGATGGAGGTGGTAAACGAGGAGGAGGAGGAGGTGAAGGTAGAAAAGCTCAAGTTTATTTATACACTGAACTTGTAGGTATATATATTGAAGAGAGGGTGGGGTGTGTAAAATTATTGAATTGGCTCCAAGAATCATGATGAAGAGAAAGAGAGAAATAATTTTCTACATCATCAGCATCACTTTTGCATCCTTCATCTTAGAATCTCTCTCTCTCTCTTGATAAAAGTTTGATTTTATCGGTAAAATATGATAATAATAATAAAGATGATGAATATGGAAGCTGAATAAACAATCATGAGATGATAACATGAAGATATAAAAGTTTTCAGACTTTTTCCTCTCTCTCTCTCTCTTGATGTAAACACGCAAATGATTGAGTTTCAAAATGAAAACACAGAGGAAAAAGTTTCAGCTGAAAGTTTATTCAAAATGATTAATAAATTGTTCACTGTGTATGTAAACATTATCGTGGCTCATTGCAGTTTAAAATTAGTGAGTTATGATTATTACAATTAGGAGAAATAATAATTTCCAGTATTCTTGTTCATGATTAAGTAACACGATTAACATGATTCATTGACTTTCTCAATGAGTCTTATCCAATTGGTGATTAATGTTAAATGCTAATTCAATTCAATGTAAACTATCAATTGCTAAATTATATTACAGTTGATCACAATTAACTTATTAGATGGAGACTAATTATACTAATAAATGATTAGACGAGATTTAAAAGTTGACTGATATTTCAAATCGTTAACTTAATCTAAATTGATCATATTGATGATTATATTAATTCAATGATAATCTGATACATGAATATATTTGTCTCATGAAATATTTACTTCAATCAATCAGATTAATCAAATTAATCACTTACACATTATTGTTAAATTGTTATTCACATTTTGGTTTAATCAATCATCTCATTTTCATTCAATCGTTGTAATCAATTAATTGTTGATCATTTTTTCCTCTCTCTCTCTCTCTCTCTCTCTCATCTTACTCTTAATCAGTTTGTTGAATTAGTGATTAACTGAACATTTTGATTGATTTGTTGTTGTTTCATTTATGAATTAAGATAATTATGTTTACTTTTATGTTTGTTTATCTTTTCATTGGTTCTTAATTTAGATTCTTGGGATTAGGATTAACCAGGAAAGGAAAACTTTTTTTGTAACTTTTTTTGTCCAAACAACTCAATGGATGAGGATGAGGATGATAATCAGGAAGATGATGAGAAATCTCATCATCACCAATCACTTTCTTTACTTCAAATCCCTTGGTGATTTTTACCATTCAGTTAATTTTCACTTGACCATTGAAAGTATTAGATTATTGTGAGGATTTAATGTTAATCAAGAGATTAACAATCAGTGAGTGATTAAAGTAACATTGTTTCTAATCATCTTCTAATCAGGTTATCTCATTTTTAATTGTTCATCGTGTTAATGTAACAGTAATCAAATCAATCATCGTAAGTAAACACTTAATTACAATATGGTTGACAATCAAGGTTAATTATTGACAATTTAATGAACAAAAAACGGTATATTTGTATTTAATTCCCGTGTAACCAATTAAATTGAACTAATTTTTAACCAACAACAACAATTAACCCAAGAAAAAATATTTACACAATTTAAATTGTGTAAAAGTTGATGATCAATAATTTTGATAACCATTCAGTGATTAACTTTAATTTTAATTGTTACCTTTGTTTGCCTGTTGCCTTTAGTTATTATTATAAATTAAAGTGACAAAAAATAACGAGGAAATTTAATCAACATGATTAACTAACAATACACAATTTATTAGTTAACGGAAGTTAACATCAATGTCCAAACTCGAGTTCCGGTCAACACATGACATGAAAACACACGTCGAGTTGATAGTTTATTAAATCAACAAAGAGCAACAATTAACCATCAACAAGAATTAGAAAAGAGAAGAAAAAAAAATCAATAAATTAAATTAACTTTCGACCAACACAATTAAATTGATTTGGTTCCAATTTTTGATTAACCATTAATCTTAAAACAAAACCTTAATTAACTTTGTTTGTATTTCCTTTAAATTAAACTAATAACATAAACATTAATTTCTCATAATATTATTTACTTGATTAACTGATTGTTGAAGGTTAACAGTGTTTCTAAATCAATAGCAATTAACTTTAATAACTTTTAGGATATTGTTAAATGATCAATACAATAACAATAACTAACTATCATTAACAAATTGATTGTTATGATTAAGGTTTAATCGTTGATCAAAAAAGGCATCATTGGTAATTATGTTCAAACAATTAACTGCAAATAATCAAATAGTCACATAAGAAAACAATCAAAAATAATTAATAGTAATCAATTGAATCTGATAATTATCATGATGGAAATTTGAAAAAAAAATTATCAGATTAATAAAAGGAAATGTTAATTGTTTCAGTTAATCAACGTTTGTTATTATTAAATTTTCAAAGTCTATTCATGATTTAAACCATCATTTAGCTTACCCGAAACCCATGGTAATTAGTTAATTGCTTATTTTTAATAATTAACATTTCGCCCTTGTGTTTGTGTGGTAAATAAAAGTCTTTGGTAAATATTGTTTCAGCTTAAGTTAATAATGAATTAATGATGATGATGATTATCATCATGTTGATTGTGATGTGGCTTCTGTGGTGATGATGGTGAAAATAATGAGTATATTTACATGATAGAGAGGGAGAGATAATAATAGTTCAATCAAGTTTACTAATGATAATAATATATTCATATGTTTATAAATACTTCTTTGTGTTTAGTATTTTTTGTCATCATCTTTTTTTTACCTATGGATATTCATTATCATTAAGATAAGAATATTATTTATGATAATAATCATATTATATTTACATAACATTAAGGTTAAGTTAACAGATAGAATAAGAGTGAGAGAGAGAAGTAGTGGGTGGGGTGGGATGAGGATGGAGAAAGATTTCTGGGAAGATAAATCTTTTCCTTTTCTTTCTTTTCTTTCCTTTTTTAGAACTATTATACAAATAAAAGATGGTGATGATGATGGAGATGATGATTGAAAAGGACAGAGAAAGTGAGAGAGAGAGAGAGAGAGAGAGAGAGAGAGAGAGAGAGAGAGAGAGAGATGACAAGATGAAAAGAAAAAGGAGATATCAAGGAAAAAGAAAAATTGACGAGAAGAAGAGATGAAAATGATGATTAGGATCATATTAAAAAAAGGAAGAAAAGAAAGAGACGGAAGGAGTGATATGAATGAAGGTGAAATGAGGAAGGAGGTGGAGGTGGGAAAGGAGAACAAAAGAATTAAGAGAAAATGTTATAATATTTGAGGTGGTGAATGAACAAACATGTAGAATATATATAAAAAACATAGAATTTTTCGTTCTTTTTAAAATAATTGTTTTTTCTTTTTCCAAGTTCTTCTTCTCTGTTTATTTATTTATCATTTTTCTTCTTCTGTTAATAAGGTTTGTCTCTGATCCTTTTTAATTGTACTTTCAGTCGTTTGTTTCCAATTTGAAAGCCATTCATAGCTTGAATTGCAGCTTGGGCCGAGATTGGATTGTCAAAAGACACGAAACCTAATTACAATTGAGAAAAGATAATAGAGAGAGAGGGAGAGAGAGGTAACAGAGAGAGAAAATTACATATAAAGCATTCACATAGATAAAGAAAATGATACACATAGAGAAACGAAATTTTCGTTCAAAGGAAAACAAGCAAAGCTACACCGATGAACAAATCATGAAGGTTATGGATGAAACCGATAATGATGATGGTGGTGGTGGTGGTGGTGGTGTGAGGGTGGGAGGAATAAGATAAATATAGAGGTGTCAGGATGTAGAGGAAACTAAATGAGGGTTTGGATGATTGATATTCAATTTACTTACCAAATCCTTTACTACAATTGGTGTTTTTATCAATGAAAACTTTACTGGAAACAACGTTACCAAAGGAGGTAAATGTTTGGGCTAAATCAACGTCAGTATAATCGGAGGGAAGATGATAAATGAAAAGATTTGATCCTTCTGGGCCTTCCATTTGTTTAATTGAGGGGTTAAGAGTGGCTCCAATTATGGTGGGACTAGATTGACCGGTGGTTAAACTGCTAAGACTTTGGATTGTTGGACTACGACTGGTAAAGGAAGGCTGAACAAGACTTAAACCCGCAAGGCTGGTGTTTGTGTTTAAAGCTGTTGGTGATGGAAGGCAAGTTGTACCCGCTCCGGCGGTTGCTGGTGTACCATATAAAGCGGCTAACATTGGATTTGAGGCTAAAGCAGTTGCAGCGGATAAACTTAATGCATCCTGATTGGCAAGTTGTTGTTGCAAGGCAAGGGTGGCAACAGCGGCGGCCAATTGTTGCTGTTGGGCTTGTTGTTGTTGTTGTTGCTGGTGGTGTTGGTGTTGGTGATGCTGATGGTGGTGATGTGACTGTTTTTGAGCTTGAACTTTTTGCTGTTGTTGGGCTTGTTGTTGTTGTTGATGAGCAACCACTTGTGCCTGTACCTGTGCTTGTTGTTGCTGTTGCTGTTGCTGTTGTTGCTGCTGTTGTGCTGCAGCCGCTGCCACAACCAAAGCAACGTAAGGATTGGTTATTAAAGTTTCCGCTGGAATTGGTGTTGCCGCTGCCGCTGCTGCAGCGGCTGCACTTTTAATAGGCCATGAGGTGGCAGCCGTTACTCCAGCTAAACTACCAGCGTACGAATTTGATGTTACCATTGTGGGTCGTCGGGTTTTCACTTTACGATTCTCACTATCCGCTGGTTTCATTTGGATGGGATGGTTCATCTGTACAAGTAGAATAATATTTTTACTTGTACAATCCACCATTAAGACAGAATTTTTCTCAGTTTATTTACCGTATATTAAATTATATATATAATAATATATAAGAATAGAAAAGAAAATTATAAAAACGTAGACACGCACACAAAGAGAGAGAGAGAAAATTAAACACACACACGAAGAAACAAAAGGCAGAGAATAGAATAGAAAAAGGAAAAAGGAAGAATAGACACACTAAATTGGAGAATAACAATAATTGCAAAATATTCTAAATTAAGAAATTAAGAAATTACAAAGGTAATTAGAAAGAAAAGAAAATGGCAACAATCAATGAGAAGAAGAAAAAAAATCTAATCACTTTTGTTCTTTTCTCACAAAGATGCAGATTAAAATGAAGAAGAAAGAAAAACAGTTAATATAAAGAACACAGAAAAATGAAAAAGGAAAGATGATGAAAAAACGAAGAAAATGACAAACAACAAGAAAGCGAATTATTGGATTAACATTAATCACTAAAGAATATCAAGTTTTACAATTGTGAAGAGAAAGGAAAAGATAAACTGAACAGTTCAATTTACCTCGAGTCAATGAGAGAGAAAAGTAACAGTTATTTTTCTCTTTTCTTCGTTTTCCATTTTTTTTTTATTCCACGGAACTAGTGACATCTATTGGATTTTTTTCTAAAAGAATTAAAGTTACCGGTTTATTTGTTTACATTCTTGTTCTTCACTCGTTTCATTTTTTCTTCTTTTTCTCCAAATAAATTATCTTTTTCATTAATTACAATTAAATTCTTTTTTGTTTTCTAATCTCCTAAAAATGAGTAATTTAAATTCTCGTGAAAATTATCCAGTATTCTTTTTCATGACTAAGACTTTCAATCTCGTGTATAATCTTGTGAAAGTAATGATTTGTGGAGCCAATGGTCAACCTGTGACTGAAATCTTAGACTATAAGGTTACCGATTTAGGTGATCACTATCGGATCGATCTTCTAATTACAAAAAAGTTTCGTTTTGACCTGGTTGAAAGTGAAATGTTATTGTTCATTATAAACGAAGTCTGTGCTGTTTATGACGAGATGAGCCCAGAATCAGCAGATCTTGTTATAAATGGTAAAAACACCGAAATCTTGGATAACTATCGTGCTTGTGGACTAACCCAAATTTACCTGTTACTTAATAACAACCATGTATCCTATTATCATGCTCAATCTGATGATGATAACCTTCAACGGTTCCCGTTTAGAAAACAAAGGCTTGTTGTTTCAACCGGAAAGGGAAACACTTTTTAAGATTTCAAACTTGAACTGGCGTCACCTATAAGTTCAATTTACCTCGAATCAATGAGAGACAAATGTAACAGTTATATTTTTCTCTTTTTCTTCGTTTTCCATTTTTTTTTTATTCCACGAGAACTAGTAACATCTATATTGGATTGTTTTCTAAAACAATTAAAGTTACCGGTTTTATTTGTTTACATTCTTGTTCTTCACACTCGTTTCATTTTATTTTCGCCAATTAAGGTAATTTAATCTCTTCTATTCTCAACCTAAGTGGTGTTGGTATGTTTTTAGATTGTGATTTGTTTTCATTCAACAATTTCAATTGTTTATCTTATAGACAAATGAAAACAATTCAATTAACCATAAAGGAGATTATGTTTAAATATTTAGACATTATCCTTTGGTGATAATCTCATGTCATCGTTATTAATCTAGATTGTGATTAAGATTATCATCTCTTGATTAATCTTGTGTTTGTATTAATTTTACTCAATCTACTTGTTTTGATTTCTCTTTGATTGTGAGTGTTTAGATTATATTATATTTATGGTAATGTTTGGGTTTTGTGTCGTATGATTTTAGTGAATATTAATTGCTGTCAATTAATTTTGTTTCTCATTCATTCTCATTTTCAGATTGATTCAATTATATTTTGAGTTCTCATCTACTTACCCCTGGAAGTGTTCGGATATTGTGAAGAGCATTTTGAGCCTCTAATGCTGATTTCCTTGAATAATAGGTGATAAAGCAACAACCTCTGGAGATACTTGTCTTTTTATCTCGAAGTACATGGAGACTGTAAATCTCACCAAACTCTGAAAGTAATTCACGGCACTCATATTCTGTCCAATCTCTTGGAATTTGACCAACAAACATTTTAATCGAGTTAAGTTCAGGTTTACGATCACCATTTTCACCTATTGTACCATCAATCGGAATGGATTCATCTTCATTAACCATCGATTCATCGGAACACTCACTTGTCACTGATTCATGATGATTATTGTTATCAATTTTAACTAGATCATCATCATGATGATCACCATTATCCTCAACTTCCCCACCATCACCACTCGTACTCTTTGAACCTGTAACATTGGAAAAACAAATATGATTTAAGATGATCACTTACTGAATTTCGGCAGATTAATTAACTGTACCTGATAATGTTGATCCAATGTTCGTTGAGGTGTTCGTTGTTCCCGACAGCGTATCAGCTAAATTTTCAAGCTTGGCAAGTTTACTTTGAACATGATTAACACCAAGGGATTCAGATTCTTCATCCATTATCCTTTGGCAATTTAAAATCTCACCAACAACAATCAACAGATTCACAAAGTGGTAAAAGTTTACAAATCAAGAAACAATTAAACTACAGGAAAGGAAATAAAGTTTTCTGATGAGATTACCGATCTAAAATGATTAATCCAATGGGAAATAGTTAATCACAATCACTGAGGAGAAAGAAGATGAAGAAGATGGAAGATCAAATAAACCAGCGAAAGAAGAAAAACAAATACCAGAAAAGAAAGATAATGATGATTATTCTGAAAAGAGCAACAAGAAATCAAAGAAAAACTAATTATTCTCGTTGATTTTTTCTTTCTTTCTCTTGATTGTAACTATTAATTGTTAAGGAAAAGTACTTGATATTTTTCTGTCTCTCTCTGTCTCTCTCTCTATCCCATAAACTGTGTAGAGAGAAAGCAAAAAAAAAACTGATAATCACCGTGCTACCGATCAGATAATAAGCTGATAAATTGTTATCAGTCTATTTGATTATGGTTTAAGCCTTGACAATCAGTCACTAATTGTTCATCGTTGATACTTTTGCTGGTTAATCATTTCTGAACTCACATCATTTCAATCATAATCCAAAGACACCAACAGGTTCAAAGTCAAGGAATCAGGAATCAACAACAATCAACAACAATCAACAACCATTTTCTTAATTACCGCTGGACTGAAAATCAAATTACTTTTTAGTGAAAGTTAATCAGCTTAATTTGGTTTCTTTGTTTGTTTACTTTTCTTGTCCACACTTAATCAAGTTAAATTATTTATACATTTGAGTCCATTAATTTGTTTAAGTTTCAATTTAATTTGATACAATTTATCAAAGTTGTTAATTTTTATTATTATTGTTTTTGTTGTTGTTATTATTAATTTGTTAATTGTTAATTGTTTCCTAAATTTTTATTTCATATTAGTTTCATTTTAATCAATTTGTTGTTTGATTATAATTAAAAATTAAACAAAACTTTTCTTGGTAAATTACTAGTAAAAATTTGTACACAAAGTGAATACATATTACAAAAACAAAACAAAACGCCAAAGTTAATTGTTGATTAACAATTGGAAATGTGAGAAATTGATTTGTGGGTAAAAGGGAAAAGGTTTGTTACAATTAAGAGTTAATTGTTTACAAGTAGAAACAGTTTAAGTGTAAGTAGATATCAATTGTGATTAAATCAATTGTGACAAAAAAAAAAGTTGGTACAATTTGAATTTACATTTGTAACTCAATTAAAAACATGGCGGCAATCAAGAGGTGACAGTTAATTGTTATGTACAAAAATTTGTTAATTGTGAAAATTTGATTTCTGCAATTAATGGTCAACAGGTTCAATTGAGTTGGCTGTTAAATTGTTGCTGAAGTTAATTGTTAAAAAAACACTAGAAAGCATTGAGACCACAAATGAGAATTAAATTTGATTCAGTGATTTAGTTAATTGTTGTAGACAATTTTGGCTGATAAAAAGCAATTAACGTAAACTTGCTGATCAAAGGTAAATTTTTTGATTAGTATGAATGACTAGTAATTGTAAACAATTAATTGATTAGATGATGATGATAGTGACTGTAATTGTAACCATTATTTGTGGTGATTAAAATTAATTGTTATTTTGTTCAACGTTGATTCGTTGTTAATTGTTCAAAATGGATAGAAATTGATTCTATAATTAGTTGAACAATTTGATTAGATTAAAATCCATTACTTTCTGATTAGAATAATATTAATTAATTAATCAATATCGTAAGTGTTTCTTTTCAATTTTTACAGAAATTTAAATTGTCTTCAATCAATTAACAGTCCAACTAAATTTGATACAATTAATTATAAGAAAATTGTTATTAAAATTAATAACCCCTGTAAGTGATTAAAGTCAAAGAAAACTAATCAAGAATATTTAATCACTGAATCAAATCCTAACATTAAGAGCACAATTAATGATCTCAAGTTAATCGACAAGTGAATTGAATTATCCTTAATTTTTCAATCCAATTGAATTAAATTTCCTGAGTCAATTTGATTGTAACCACCAATGATCAAGGGAAGGCACTAATTAGATTGAAAAAAAAGAAGAGGGTAAAAGATGATAATTTGTTAATTGTGATTAGTTAACATTCAATCTCGTCCGATTTTGATTTTGAACGTAATTGCCTTTTATTGCGTATACGATGAGGTCGACCTGCCAAAGAAAAGGATAAATGATTAGTTAATTGTTGACGGAAAATCACAATTGTTTATCAATCGCATTACCTTGATTACGATGTCTTGGTAAAACTGGAGCAATTTGATTAGATGCTGAGGCGGAAATTGAAACGGGTGTTGTTGATGAACTGGCCGAAACCACGGAGGAAGAGGTTGATAAATGTTGCCGTCGGTGGTGGGAAGGCCGTTTACTGATCCCACCGGTCAAAGGTGAATCGTCTTCATCTGAAGATAATCCAATTTTAAAGGAGCTCATCTCATCTGTTGGTGTAATCATTTTATCAGTTGATTTACTTTCATTAGATGGCAGTTGATTATTTGGATTAATTTTATTACTATTGTGATATGATGATGAACGTAAATTATGATGATGAGTATGAGGATGATTAGTGTTATTATTATCACGATTAAGGTAGGATAATCCACCTTGAGCATGTTGTAATAGATGAGCAGGATTAATTGGGGTGACACAACTTGAATCGGCCGATGAGCAAGAATCACTTGAAACATCATCACCATCCGCACCAGTGGTACCATCAGATGAATCGGTTGAAGGTAATCCCGGCGTTAGACAGGCGGCTTGGCGTTTTTCATTAGGTTTTGGCGGTGATTTAGTAAATTGTCTAATCCCTGGATCAGTTGGTGTATCATCAAGTGTATCATCTTGATCTTCATCATCATCATAATACATTGGACCTGGATGATTAAGCTGATAACGGCGCCCATATTCATAGGCGTATAAAAGTTCATCTTGAGCCGATGAACCAGAGGTTACACTTTGAGTAGCCATTAAGCCACCAAACAAGTAACCATCACGACTTTTAGATGAGCCGCAGGTCTTGTAATCTCGTGAGGTTGTCGGTGCAGCATCGACGGTCGCTTTGTACATGTAGCCCGGTTCTCCGATGTGAACACTGAAAGTTTTAAACTCTTCCTCGGGATTACCTTCATCGCCGCCATGCAAACGGAAGGTGGCATAAGGTGTAATTTCGTCGTACTCGTTGGACAAATCTTTCTCAATTTCTTCCAGCTGTTTGGTCGGTATTCTGACCTGAGGTAGTCGACCGCGAATTGGTGATTTAGGTGGATAAGGTGGACCACGAGATGGGTCAAGTTTAACAGCAGAGGGGTTATTTATATTTCCACCAATTACTCCAATTCCAGGAGTAGAACCCAGGCCACTACCTCCATTTGAACCCGTTCCGGATGCGTTACCTGCACCATTGATTGAATTGTTTGATGAATTACCTTTGATCGCTTTGATCGCGGGAACTTTTTTGGACGAAATTACTGAAGGTTCTTTAACCGATTGGATACTTGAAAGTGATTGATTCTTTTTAATTAAAAGGTCTGAACTTGTATGATCTGATCGAAGGCCAGAGGATCGTTTATCACTACCACTGGCATCACCTTCATTTGAACTTGGTGCACATGAGGTTGAACTTTGACGACGATAATGAGACGATTTTGGTTTAGCTGAAAGGCCAATTGAATGTTTCTTATAAACAATTAGACAAGCGATTGCAAAACAACCGGTAACCAGAACAACCAGAGATGATAAAATCGATACCAAAGTAGTGGTATCAAGTAACAGGCCACGTTGAAAACCCGAACCAAAGGTAAAAAGTTCCTTTTCTTCAAGACCTAATCGAACATCATATTCAGCCATGGTTGAAGGTGATCCTCGGGTTTGAGCAGTAATACGAATTGAATAGATGGATTTTGGAATCAAATTGTGAATCTGAATCGGTTCAGATTCATTGGGAAGACTTGGAGTTGAAACCATTTTCCAGGTATGATGAGATGAGGATCGATACTCAATAAGCATCTTTGTAATTGGACAACCGAGAGTTTGATCCCAAGCACTTGGATAGATGAATATTGATGAATTACTAACTACCTTGATAATATCCTCCTTTTTAGGAGCAATTGGAGCTAAACAAGTTGGGAAGAGAAAGTAAAGAAAAATTTAATAATCAGAACAAATTAGATGGAAATAAGATCGATAAGTTCACCAATCTTCCAAATAATTACCTGATCCTTGAGTTTGAAAGGTAAGGGTATCACTTTTGGTTCCTGTTGTTAAATCGGTCATGAATAATTTGTATAAAGTTCCACATAAAAGATTATCCAATAAAACAGAATGATTTCCAGAGGGAACTCGAAAAATAGGTTTAATCTGCCAATCATGAACATTCCAACCAATAATACGATAGTTAAGCTCAAAATCTGCTAATCGATATTACCAAAGAAAAAGAGAGAAAAGATTAGATTAGAATAATGTTCTTAATTGTTTCATGATTAGATAAATCTTTTCGATTTTTTCTTCTTCTTGTATTTCTAAATAACAGAATGCAAGCTCGAATTATTCTCGATACTTGTACATACCTTTAACCGAATCTTTGGTAACCATTGGTTCTCGATAGAATGATATTTGAGCTGATGTATGACTTGTCGAAATTACCTTAACCTTTAAAGTTTTATCGGTTGCTGAGACTGTAGAAATTAAGATCAACATTTAATTCATTTTAATTAGTGGTCGAAATTATGATTCTCTGATTTCGTAGAGGAAAAAAATCTAATATCATTTAGTACTTGAAGAAAAATGAATAAAGTGTTTGGAGTAAAATGAAAGTTGAAAGAAAAAAAGTTCTATCAATATAAAGGATTAGGTGAATGTTTCAGATTCTATTGGATAATTGTATTAGATTTTCTTCTGGTTGATAATATAAAATGAGAGAAAATAAATGTGATCTATTTATATGAAAATAACTAATATATCATGGAGAATACAAGTAAAAGACCACATACCACTTTCTGATGTCCAAACGAATGAATCATGGGAATCATTGGATGTATAGAGAGAGAGAGAGAAAGATGACCAAAGGAAAGAAAATTGTTAGAGATTAAATTATTAGCTTGGAAAAGCAGAAATGATAATTTGTTGCAAAGAAAGCAAACAGAATAATATGAGAAAAATGATATAATAATCTTCGATCTTTATATTGTTTACCTCGGTCAAGGTGATAAACAACGAAATCATTTCCAAAATCATTGGAAACATAACAGGTAAAGTTACTTGTTTCTTCTGGAATTTCAGAGATCAATAAACTTCCATCAGCTTCAATGTTAAGATTTTCTTCACTACTTGAGGTCAATTTTTCGGTAAAATGGTCAATCATCATCAATCAAGGTGATATATTGGAAAGAAAGACAAATTATAACATTAGAAATAAGTAGCTAATAGCAAATCAAAGTTTTCTCTTAGTTATTTGAATCTCTATCAGATTATCTGAGAGGAAATTAAGTTATCACAGTGTAATGATTACTTACGAATCTCTTGACCAGGTTCGTTGGAGAGGTTCAAGTCCAACCGAATGGCAGCCTAAAACTAACGGTGTAACTTCCGCACCGTTAATGGTGAAAGTTTCATTCCATTCCAATATTTTCGCAGGAACTGGAAAGAATCCATGATAGAATTATTTTCAAATTTCATTTTGAACTAATCGATTTGTGTGTAATAAAGTTTATTTACCATTTTCAATCGGTATTTGGGTTACTCGAGATGTCGATTCACCTTCCCCTTTCCTCGTAAAAGCGGTTACCCAAATTTCATAGGCCACGAATCCTTTCAAACTGGTTATCTTATACTGAGGTGAAGGTTCAGGCCATCGGTAACGGGTCGACAATAAAGTGGTCGTTCGACTCTTAGGAACCGTTACCGAAGATTTAGTCCGATTATTGTTCAATTCTCTCCAATAGACAGCGTACTTGGTGATGATTCCATTACGATCAACTGGATCTTTCCAAGTAACAATTAACGAATCACCTGATGAAATGATTACCTTAATTGCTGCTGGTGGTCCAGGAACTAAATTATTACATGGGAAAGAAAAGAAAAAGAAAAATCAATAAATAATAAACTCTCTCCTCGTCGAATAGATGTCACTAAGTGTTAGAACTTTTTTTCGATAAAAATAAAAGGATCCAAATCTCGAAGCCTGAAAGTTGATTGAAATTAAATTTAGAAGCTTATAAAAAAAGGAGAGACTAATTAAACTAATTAAATTTAATTCTCAATAGAAACAAGAAATGTTTTTATCTTTTTCATCAAATTGATTTACTTAATTGTAGTTAACTTAATGGAAACTACAAAAAGTAAACTAAAAACTTAAGCTTGAATTAGAAAAGAGAGAGAGAGAGTAATTAACAATGTTATAGATTAATTTTCTGATACAATTTAGTTACAATTTACAATTAACTTACCATCATCAGCAGTTCGACAATAAGTGACCTTAGAAGCGATTCCTTCACCTTTACGAGTAAAAGGAACCACTTCAATTGAATAATTCGTGTGTTTGAGTAAATTTTTCAGAATAATTTCACTTTCGGTTGTTGTTTCCTTTTTCATTCTATTAACATCACCTAATGTATATAAAAAAAGAAAGAAAAAAAAAGTTAATCACATAAGCAATTAATTTAATTGCTGACAATTTACCTCCAAGAGGTCGATAAATTATCTTATAGCCAAGTAATAGTCCGTTAATTGTTGATACTGGTGGAGGCTCCCAAGTCACAGATATGCTTTCAGATGATATTATTGAGCAAGCCACAAAATTAGGTTCTTTACTAGGCACTATTAGTTAATTGTCGCAAGTAATTAAACAACAATCAATGAAAAAAAAAGGAAAGAGAAAAGAAAATTAATCAATACAATGATCATTAGTGTCAAAGGTAATGATGATTGTAGGTTTAATGAATCAAATCGTAAACCTTATAATCAATGTACAAGTGAATGTAAGGAAACCTATGAAAATCGCAATCTAAATGACTCTTAACAAGGATATTAATTAACTTAAATTATCACTACCACTTTATATTAATAAATAAGCTGTTAATTAGTCAGATAATTATTGATTTACTCATGTAAATATGTAAAGGTAAAAATAAAGTTCAAATGAGGAAATTAAAAGTTACTCTTTCAGTACAATGTTAACGATAAACATTAGCAATGAAATTAACTTCCGCCACAATTAACCACAATCGGAAATAATTGTCGTTTCCTTTAAGGTAAATAAATTTTGTACTAAATGGTTAGCAATTAATAACAATACCAAATATATAAATCGATCGATTAGCTAATTACAATTAAAAGAGTCTGAATCTTTGATTACTCAATTGATTGATTGATTAAAACATTTGAAAACTGATTTTGAATTCAATTGAATTTTGTGATTTGGGAAAGATTTTCAGTTTGTGATTAGTTTTGATTTGATTTGATTTAATTTAATTTATCAATTGTTAACAATAATGGAAAGAAATCAATTTACCATCTTCAAAAGTTGTCACGGTAATTGGATCTGACCTTGGTCCAGTTCCCATTGAATTGTAAACTTGAACAATCACATCATAGGTGGTAAAGGGTTTCAATGAACTTAATGTAACTTCATTCAATTTTTCATCTTCCTTATTGATTATCTCAAGGGTTTTGTAAAGATATTGTTCATCAGAACCTGTCACTTTATAGCCAATATAATAGCCTTTCAATTTACCATTCCAAAGTTTCCGAGCTGGAGGCTGAAATAATAATAACAATAATGATTAACTTGAGCAATTTTAATTGTCACAATTTAAATTTATCTTAAATGTCAATTCAGTTGATAATACAAAACGATATAACTTACACTCCAAGTAACTTTGGCAGATCTTGAATCAATTGGTTTTGCCTTTAAATTTAATGGAGGTCCTTCTGGAGCTATAAATTACCAATTAAATTGTTAGAATTAATTTTAATAGTTAAGTTATCATTAGACTTTAGCTCTTTCTTAATGTAAATATTATATTTTCAATTGTTGGATTCAGTTAATTGTTTGTCTAGCTTATTAATTATTCAAATCGACATCAAGATATTCATTATGTTGGCTAATTGTTAGTTATAATGGAGTAACAATTAATTATAATTACCTTGTTCTTCTGTAGTAAATTCAACTGTATTTGATGGTTTACTGAGGCCAACATCGTTTTCCGACTTAACGGAGCAAATATAAGTCGTAGATGGCCTTAGGTCACGAACGATGTAAACTGGACCTTCCTCAATTGATAAATTGTCAACGGACATATTAAGATGTCCAAATGATGAAAATTCACCAGCTAGATAACAATTAAACAATAAGATTATTAGTATTAAGATAAACTATTATCATTGAACCAATTGTAATAATAATTAAATCTGTGTACTTCCAATCGATTGTAAATATTATTAATAATCAAAATCATACAAAGATTAACAGGTTAAATGGTCAATAAACAATTAACAAATCAATCAGTTTATCATTAATCTAATGAAAGGTTAAATATGCAGTAAGATTAAGTTGATTTAAAGAGAATCAATTAGTTTGTATTGATTAATTTTCCAGTTCTTTGGAAACATGGTAGAGATAATTAAGTAGATGATTGGATACTAATCTTGGTGAGTTGATAAAGTGCATTTTTAGCTCTGTAAATAGTAATTGGGTTTATCATCATGTTAATTATGATGATTGGAAATCAATTGGAAGATAAATCTGATTTAACTCTCTTCATTTATCCTTCTCTCTATTTTACTTACATGAATAATCTTTGGGGTGGCAAGTTATCCAGAATCTGTTGATCTCACTGTTACCATTGAACGATTGAGACCAGGTCAGTTTGGCTTCTCTTGACCTTTGTTCAAGAACTCGAAGAGCTTTCGGTGATTCAGGCGGTTCTTGAACAATTAGACGAATATTGGTCTCATCTTTACCATAAGAATTGGTTACAAGGCACGTAAATAGAGCTGAATCCCGTCGACGTGCTGATTCAATCTTTAAACTGGAAACAAGTCGCTTGGGCCAAGTTTGATTTCGTACCTGGAAACGGTTATCCTTTTCAAGAGGCTGCTTATCGAGAAACCATTCAATGGACATTGGACTATCGCCTCGAGCATCACAGGAAAGTTCAATATCATCGGAAAGACGAACCGTTTCGCTACGAAATTTAGTCACAAATTGAGGATGAGCTAAATTTAGATAATGATAAGAAAACAAATCAATTATCACAATTACAATAAACTTATCAACAAGTAACAATTAACCAATCGTATTACAATTAATCCCAATCAATCAAGCGATTAAACAATTACCATTACCAATTATATTAATAGTTACTCTGAAATTGATTTTGTAATATCTTGATTTTTGTTTTATTAAAATCATAATAAATTATCTGGCTGGCTGATTTAAAGGTTGATTTAACAATCAAATTTTTTGAGCAAAGTGTAGTTAAGCTTTCAGAATAAGCTGAACATGGTAGCAATAATGTTGATGAGTAAAATGTTGATGGGTAAATAATAATAACATGATATAATCATAATGATAAATAACATGGATGCAAAATCGTCATTATCATTGGATATTATCAGTAATAATAATGAACATGTTGTAAAATCTTTTCAACAGAAAACTCTGAATCTTTAGGTAATCGTATCATGAATATGACGACCAAGTAAAGATCTATGATGGAGATAGTGAAATAAAGTAGATACCTTATAGAGTTTAGCAGATCATTAAAAAGAGGATGAGGATGAGGATGATGAGGAAAAAATAGAAAAAATTGTGAGATTATTTTGGGTTAACGTTGGGTTAATAAACGATTGAGAGAGTAAAAAGGGTAAGATGATGATACAGATGAAGATGAAAGAATTGGTTGAGTAACTATTCATCTAAAGAGCAAACAATCTCTTTCTTTTCATCAGTAATCTTCTTTATTATCATCATCCTTTGGGTAAGAAAATACAGTTACTCTCTTTCTTATTCTCTTTCTCTATTACTTTAATCATCATTTTCTACTGTGACAAGATACTTTCTTTTTCTTACCTTAAGATTTGCTCTTTTCATCCGGTCACGGATTATATTCATCTAACCATCAACATCCTTTTCTTAATCATCTTTCTTTTGTCTTTCTTTGTCTTCGACAATCTCATCATTCAGTGAACTTTTCACAGGCTCGAATCTCAACATATTCACTCCCAGTCAATTCCCTGAATCTTGGCGATGAAACTATTCTCTCTCTCTCTTTTATTTAACTTAAACTGTTATAATTTACCTGAACAAATAAAAATCATCTGATTGCTAATACCTTTTACCTGAGATAACAATTGTAATCATTTACTACAATTTGATAAAAAACTTACAAAATCGGATAATCAGTGACAATTGTAAATGGTCAGCAATTTTCACTCCATCATTTAATCATAATGTTAATTTAATTAATTACTTTATCCTTAAAGTTAGGTTTAAATGTCAATGGCAATTAAAGATGTTAATGAAAGTTTTTCATCATGATGAATTCTCATGATTATCATTTTTCCTTCATCCATTTGAAATGATTTCATGTTGACACACCCTTAATGAAATACTACTAATAGTATACAGCTAAATGGATTCTCAGGTAAATGTTATATTTAATGGGGAAAATTTATTCCCATTGGATTTTATGCTGATAAATTATCAAATGTTGATTTTGTTTCTCATATTGAAAGGTAAATATTGACCAATCTTTTATCACTATTCAGTAAAAAACCACAACTTTTATCATCATTATCATTAAATTCAGCTTCATTTTTATCTTCCATCATCATCACTGTGATGGTTTTTCATAACCAACATCATTAAATTAGATAACAGATCAAATTGACATTAAATCATTATCCTCATCTCTAAATGTTGTTGTTGATAAACAGTAACCATGATTTACTTTTAATCGTCATCATGATGAACATTTAAACTCTAATTACAATCAAGATTAACACTTAACAGTTTCATTAATCTACGGTCTTGATTGTTTGTTAATTCAATCATTCCAATGATCATTATTTTATTAACTTCTGTCACTTTGTAAGTTTTAATCTCACATTATAATAATTAATTACGAACACAAGTTAAAAGTGATTATTTAATAAGATGAGTCAGTAATTACAATTTTCAATTAATTTACTATTAATCTTTCACAAATTTCATTAATCTAAATTGTGATCATTTTCTCTAACATTGTGTCATTTAATTGCTACTTGACTAAAATAATTATCTTTGCTAATTGTTGAAATTAGAATTAATAATCAAGTAGGTTCATTGAATATCTTGAAACTTTGTGTTCATTAGTAATTCATCATGATAATCATTTAATCTACAACATTAATTTGAATTTTAATCACATTAAATCAAATTAAGATTATAAATCAATGAACATATAATATCAATCGATCATCAATTTATCAACATGGTAAAAGTAATGATGAAAAGTTTTGACAATCTATGTTAATAAGGAAAAAGACAATCAGCTGATAAGATGAAATCTAAGATGGGACTAGGATTAAGATGAAGATGATTTATTTCTAGTCACATTCAATTTTCATCATCAATTGTTAAAGATGATCAATCAATCCAAGTTAAAGAGGATAAAAGAAGATGATAATATAAAAAGATGAGCAAGAAGATTAAAGATTCGTAGTCATCATGAACTACTGAAGTTAATTCAAACTTTTTTCTCTAATAAAAATGGTAACAAGGTAACAACCTTTTATAACTTTTTTTACAATAACAATTCGAAAACATTTAATATCAATATTTTTTATCTTGTTCAATTTTCAAGCAAATATTAAGATCAAAAGTTATTATTTGTAGTCGATTCAATCAAACGGAAACAATTAACAAACATAGTAAATTATACTAACAGTAATATCAAAATTAATCAAGAACAATTAGATCAACTGTTTTCTCCATATTTTTGAATGTTTATTTATATTAATTCAGAATACAAATTCATCAATAAAAGAGCTCAGAATGTCTGACAACTTCTGATTAATAATCTAATTTTTAAAAAGTTCATATTAACAATAAATGATGATTAACATTAGTCAATTGTTAGATTGATTAAAATTTTAGCCTCTTGCTACCGCTTTATTGATACATGTACAGGGCTATTCAGCTATTTTTACCGATGTTTTTTGCGATTTTCTCAGCAAGAGTCAGAGAGACACGAGACTTGAGTGGTATGAGTTTGAGCGATACTCAATTGTCATATCAAAAGATCAAAGTCATTGAGGTAATCGGTAAAATAAAACGTTTCAAGGTCATCTGAAGGTAATTCAACAAATAAGAATATTCAGAGACACTACTGACAAGTTTTGAGGTTTGTATTAGCTTTGCAATGCACGTTAGGATAAATTTATTGCATAGAAGATTTTCAACAGTTATTCAATTAAACTGTTATATCTCAAGATCTGTGAAAGCAGGGACCTCTTACCTCATTTTTCAGGGTTAAAAAATGTGAGGGATAACTGTAGCTTAGTAGCCCTGTATTGATCGTGCTATTCATGGATTTTTTAATCTCTGAAAAGAGTATCACTAATACCTGAGAGAAGGAACGATGAGAGGACAATCCAACTTAGATACGATTACGGACATAAATTCGTATCTATGTTACCTTACAGAGAGAAAATATTCTTTGTTGATGAATTCGGAATTTTAGTAGACTCTCGAGCTAACTATGGTCGTTCAGGTATCGGTTTTCGAGCAAATAAAAAAGTAATAACCGTGAGAGGAAAAAAATTACAGTGTTTGTGCTGCTTTGAGTGGTGAATGCTTATTTTTTTCGAGGTATATAATTCTCCTTATAATAATGAACATTTTCACATATTCACTGGTCAATTATTCGATCATTTTAGATTAGCACCATTTAATAAGTTAAACTTTCCCAAAAACAAAGTTGATCCTTATGCTCAGCAAAAGAATAAAGGATATGAATACGAATTCATGGTGACAATTCTTTGTGAGTGGATGACAAATTCGTTGTAGTGATAACAGGCCTTACAGCTATCGAAAGAATGGCTGGACAAAAGCAAGATTAAAACGCTAGTGGACAGAATAGCTGAAAGCATTGGAAAAAGAATCGACGTTAAATTAGAAACTGCTACCAAGAAGAGCTACAGCTAAATCGTCAGAGAGACTGTCACCGAGCCTCGCAAAGCTGCCCAATCAAATAAATGCAAGAAAAATGTCGCGGCAAAGTTATCTTCGTTAAAGAAAAAGGTAGAGTACAAGGACAGTGGGTTAATGGTTCTTTTGTTGCAAGTAAGGTGATCAAAGTTCTTACTAAACACAGAAATCTATCCATCACTATTTACTCAAAGAAAAAGAAGCAACATTGGTTATTGGAGAAACAAAAAAATGTACGCTTGCTTTTATCGACCTTCTGAAAAATTAAAACCCAGAGATTGTCATCGAGAAGCTGAGAAAGAGAGAAAAAGAAACCTGAGAATATTATTAAGAGTCTTGAATCTAAATTAAGTGGCGACACAAAAGTCGATGATAATCAGCTTTTGGATAAGCTGATTGAAGCATTAAAAATGAATTCATCTCTGTCTGAGTGAACTTCGAATTTTTCTTCGTACAATTACTTTAAAATTCTAACTGACCATTACTTGTAATTTTCTTCATCGTGTTATTGACATTGGTACCTTTTATAATTAGTAAAGATCGCAATTGGTTTCTGATCATATGTAATAATGTATTTCTAATATATGCTGTATATCCAACTTTCTTTTTTCACCTAATCCTCTCATTAAGCTAATTATCTTTTCAATTTGGTCAACTCCATCGGCCATCTATGACAGCGGTTATATTTCTGCGAACTAACGTTTCTGAGCTCTGATAAATGATATGTTCATATGTGAATTTTTATAACTGTACGTGATAATTAACGTACAATTATCAATGCGGGTTTTTTACTCTTAACGTTATTAACGACTGGTTCAAGAGAGAGGGTTGCTGAATGTAGGCTTAGAGTAAATTGATTGAAAAAGTGTTAATAGATCGTATATCTTAAGTTAGAACGCGAAAAAACTCTGGGCAGATCAAACAAATTTACCTTGAATAGATTAAGTAAACAAATCTTAATAATCTCTTGATAATTTGCCTCTTGACATCTTCATTGGATCAAATTTCGAATCAGCAGTGAACA